CTAAAATACAAATCGGCGATGATGTGCAAGATTAAAAGAGAACTGAAAATATGCAGTTAATCTTCCTAGTTACAGTGTTAATAACTTTTCCTCGCGAAAACAAGTGCGCAGATGATAACGTGTAATAAAAGCTAGCAAATCCGGGGTTCTATACAGTAATGTATATTGCCGTTCATAAATATAGAATATGAAATCATCATAGTTGCTGTAATTGGATAAATGTTGTCGAATAGATTGCAAATATTGTTAGAATAAATTACAAATACATAATAAAGAGAAAAATTATTCTTGAAAGATTTGTAACAGAAAATCTTCTCCTTCTTTCTGTTGCAAAATAACAATGAATAAATTAACAATTTTATTTTATAATTAAAAATATTATAAATATATATAAGGGAGATATATATATTAAATTGTTTTAAAATATATTATTATAATTAATACGTATATTATTAATTCAAAATAATTAATAGTATAAATAAATAAAGGAGATAGATCACAAACCGAAATTGTTTCCTTAATATATTATTATAAAAGAATACGTGTTCAAAAACAGAGAATAGAGATTCCCACATTCTTTCGAACGTTTTTTTTGCTCGATTTTTTGCACCTTTTTACAATCGGCAATCCAGAAAGCCTTTGAATCAGTCCAAACTCACGTTCTTTCCTATCTTTATGGAAATACGATATTGTAAAGCCGTTACAGCCCTTGTCTCTTTCTCGACTAACGCTCTTAATGCTATACTTCTGAAACGCAAAATTCCTAGCATATATATATACGCTTACAAAACGGTTGTGAAACGACCATTAAGAGATACGAAACATTGTCGTGTGTGCACACACACCTTTCCATTAGGCACATCCGCGTATCTACGAGCCGCGACTTCACGCCGACGAAGAACGCGAGTACAGCTTTGATGTGACCGCCATTACTGGGGGGCACACTTATCATCGTATATATAGTTGACAACTTAGAATCCACGACAAATTCCTGCCGATGCTTTACACTTTGTTATAGACGCGAGCGCGAGACACGCATTATTTATTCACGCATTTATTTCCGATTCATTAAAAGAATATTCACTCTTGCGTGAGAGATTTTCCGATATACATATATCTCTTTCCTCCTTTTAAATATTATTCCGCTGTATATTATTCGTATTTATTTATTGTATGATCATTTTAATCGGAATTACACCCTTGCATTGCGTATTTTTGCTTTCTAAGATTAGATATATAAATTAAATTGTATTGTAATTAATAGAAATCGAGGTAGTTAACAGAATTTATATTTAATATATTTATTCATTAATTTTGCTAATACAATTTCTATCCTCTTTCAAACTATGCAGAACAACATAGATCGATTATTTCGATTTCTTAAGGATATAGGCGATCTTAAAAAAACTTCTTTCCGCTAATTTTATATATAATATTACGTTAAAAGTATTGAAACTTTATACATGCATAATTGGAATAATGTTGTAAAATTACATTAATATTCACTAAATCGTTTAGAAGAAAATAATAATAATTTAGTGAAATTCTGACTTTTTCCCCGATTATTGAGCATTGAAAGTTAGAAAATTAAACTATATAGCGATTTTCTATAATCTGTAATACGTATAGATTTTCTACAAAATGAATAGTGTTGGACTCCGATTATATCTCTCATACATCCTTAATATAATTTATTTCCATATTAATTAACGAACATAGAAATAGATTATGCAAGAGATTAATATCTTGAATTAAGTAATCGATTTATGTTGTATATTTTCCTTTTTTCTACAAGATAAATATATAAAATAAATTATATTAATTAAAATATCACTATCGAAGCGTTATTAATAGAATTTATTTCTAATTAATTGATATATTTAGTTTTAAATTTCATCAGTAGAATTTCACGTGTATGTCGTTTTTTATTTGTGCGGCTCGAAAGCGACTGAAAATTTTCTATCATAAATAATTCATTCAAAATCACAAAGCGATGCTAGAGATGATGGCCTGTCGTAAAAAGGAACCTCTTCTCTTAAATTGTCATTTACACAAAATGGTGGCTACTGCTATTGCTTTATGTTCAATGTGAGTATTGTACTCCATTTGTTTTTCCTAGATTCTTTTCGAGATTAAAATCTTTCTTTCAGATTAGCATTATTCCAATTTCAGCACAGTCAGCCGCTAACAATAACACTACTTATCTACTTGCCAATTTAAAATCTGTTTTGATAGGCGTCCACAAAAGATTTTTCCACAGGAAGAAGCATGATTCAAATTTTTTTAAATTTACTTTTCGTCCTTTTTTAATTAAAAAAAAATTTTTTTTTTATATTAAATGCAAATAAATTCCAGCGTTTATTCAAAAGGAGAGCAAATGCTGAATTTTTTACTGCGATTTCACGAGAGGCAAATGCCATCTCTTGCACCCTTTGTGGACGCCCATGCTAAGGGGGATACTTCGAAATGCCCCTGATCTATCGGGGCTTCTCGAAGACGAGGTGACGAGCTGTCATCGTCTTCCTCCACCTCTATCGCGGACGTGACAATATTTGTCGCGAGACCGACGAGGCGAGAGGAGACGCAGCGTCTTGTTTGCCCTGGTAAGGTTTCCTGTGCGAGGGAGACGTCTATTTGCTGAGGCTTTGTTTCCGTCAGTTTCCGTTTCTAAGGCGGCGGCCTCTTTGTGATTGCTCGCGCGATCTCCATTGACTACGCAGGATCTAACGCTCTTTCATTCTTTTTGTTCTTTTTCTGATTATTAAGATAAGATGCGACACTTCCGACATACCCTTAAAATTTATGATCAGACAGCAGGTCAGATCTTTCCATCTGTATTTATTTTGACCACTGTCTTGTATAACCGATATTTGTTTTGACCTGTTTCCAAGTTAGGAATTTCGTGTATTAAATCCGTTATATAGACGAATAGTGGTCCTTTAAAGTTTTTGCAAGACAAAAAACTCGGAATGCTTCGAGCTGAGTAAATAGTTTGAAACTATTGTGAAGAAGTTGGACAAAGACGCTTATATCACGATAACTCAAGAAATACCTTATTTAGGATTAGAGCAACTATTAGTAAGGTGATTTCAACGTTCATAAATATTTTTCAGCCATAAAAATCGACGATCGCGGCTTTTCGTATCAATCCAGTTATATAATGCACCATATTTCTGGATGATAACCGTTTATTCGAAATAATAGATATGACAACTAATTGTGAAATAATTTTAAGAAATAATGATTTATTAGGCGAAGATGAGACGAGATTAAAGGTTTCCGCTCTCAAAAACTTTTACGAGTTATTGTCATCAGAAATAGCTAGAAGGAAGAAGAGAAGACCGAATGATTGATATCTCCTATTTAGTTTATTCTCTATTAAAAATGTCACTCTAGTTTCTAGAAACTTAAAAATCATGTTGCACAGACAACGTTATGTTTTTATACCTAATTAATATCACTTCGAAATGCAACAATAAAATTCAATCACTTGACAACTCGGAACGAATAGAATTGCGTTATAGAGCATGGGATATTTTTGTTCGCAATGAAAGAATCGGAAACTTATTAGTTACGCTTTAACATCGCATCATTACGCGCAGAAACATACGAGGAAATCAATATAATTAGCAACATTGAATCCCTCTGTCTATCAACATCTCGGTACCGCAATTTTCGCAGCATCATCATTTTGTACTGAAACAACCGCATTGACTTTCGACGTGTCAGTGCAATTTCCATATAGCAATCAGTACGCATTTTCTATGCGGCATAAATCAAGAATATCTCTTCTAATCAAAATCCCCATTAAAAAAAAAAAAAAAAAAAGGGAATACACACTCTACCCTCAATTAACACCATTATCTCCAAACTCTCCTATTGTCATCTCTCGATTGTACGGTTCTCCATCTTTGGGCGATGCATTTTCGCAAATGGAATCGCATGCCAAGGCTTGTCGGCGTCGCCTTTGTTACCAATCGCTCCCTCGTCTTCTTCTTCTTCCTTTTCGCCGTCGTCGTCGTCGTCGTCGTCGTCGTCGTCGTCCACCTCGTCGTTGAAAATTCCCGTGGAATTTTTCCACCACTCGATCATCCCGGCGAGGGAGGCGATCATCCCGTTCGGGATGGGATTGTCCAATGAAGCGATACCATACAGAATCTCGATGGGCGGCGCCCGGAATCTTGGCGATGGCTCTCCCGGACTTCGCTCATCGTGGTGGGGCCCGGCGGGGCCCAAGCGAGCCCGGGGGAGCCCTGGTGGGGGAATTGACATCGGCGACTACTGTGCATTTCCCACGTGCCCTGGGAACCCCCGCGGCATCGTGTCAGCCCCCGCTCTTCGGCTCTTTTGCACGCTCCTTTCCACCTCCACCTTTCTCTCCCACACTATCTGCTTCTCATCGTCAGCGGGCGAGAGAGTCTCTCCTTCTGTGTCTATCGCTTTCCTTTTCCTTCTCTCTTCTCGTCCACCTTTCTCCTGGTCTTTCCTACAGAAGTGGAAGGCAGAAATCAAGAAACGCGTTCCTCAACATCGATTTGCGGTTTTGCTCTTGCGCGCAAGTGGACGAGATATAGCTCGAGCGTATAACTCTTGGGTTAGACAGACAGATGGTGAAAGAGTCGGTGGCTCTAGTTTTCGGGCTACCTTCGTAGTCTTTATGGCCAGGGTTGGCTACCGCCCCCGCGGGGAGTATCCTTTTTTGGAAAAAAGGCGAAGGCGGAAGGAAGCGACGGTATATATTGGAATACTCGAGGGTAGGGGAAAGAGAGACACTACTCTCTGAGATTATAGAGACCCAAAAGGGTCTTTCTCTCTAGGCGTGGGTGAAGAGGGATGCTCTCGTCTCACGGTTATACGAGGGCGGGCCCAGACGTGATGGTAGGGATACCGAGGACCCTGCGAAGCATGACGAGAGAGAGAGAGAGAGGGAGCGAGAGATCCAACGCTTGGAGGAGACAGAGCGGGGAGAACGGAACGCGGGTACCGAAGCGGGAGCTCAGGAAGCCGCGTCGACGAAGGATTTGTGAATAACCGCGCTGCTATTCGGGTGAGACAAGGACGAACGCAGAAGGAGAGAGAGCCAAGTCGGGACAAGACGCGCTACCACTTGTGTGTTCCCTTCTTCGTCGTACCTTTCCACTTCATCATCGTTCTCGCCGTTTTCTCTCCGCTCCGAGAGTCATCACCCGCCGCGTCCACCCATCTTCTCCCTCAAGTTTTCCTTCTTCTCTCTGTGCTCCCGTTCCACCTCCGCACATCCTTCTCTCCACTACCACCGCCATCACCTATACCTCTTCCTCCCTCGCCGCCTCTTTTCTACCTCTACCACTTCAACGAGGTCGAGGAAGGAACATCCTGGACGTTCCCCGTGGAATCGAGGGAGGCTACCTTCACACACGGAAACGACAACTGGTGGGTATCGGTGAGTCGGTTCGGTAGGGAGGTGTCTCCCGATCCCTCCAACCAGAAGAAGCGAGAGACGACGACGACGACGACGAGGAGAGACCTTTGGCGGTTACACACTGCGTCCTACCGTCTTCTGGTGTGCCTACCTATTCGGGCTACCAGCCAACCGACCGGCCAAGCTTCAGTCGACGCCGCGCATCCAAACGGTCCAGACCTGTCAGCCCGGAAGACACACGCGCACCATAGACACTTTCTCACGAGACCCTGTTTAAGTAACACGGTTTACTACTGTCGTGTGACGCTGAGTACACTCGCAGTTCGCTCTAGAACCCGTTTCCGCGAGTTTTCGTTCTTCGTTCGCTTTTGTCGCAGAATTTTTCTTCGACGGAAGAGTTACCTGAGCTCCAGGACAATCTTTTTATCCGCCCGGTAAGTCAATGTCGAAATTCATTTATTACTTGTAATTGTAATTGATGCGATAGAATTATAATCATCTGTTAATTATAGAATTTGAGGTAGACATTAATTTTTCTTATATTCGAATTAATTAACGACAAGAGAAAACAGAGAAAGATATGAATCTTCAACACATTTGTCATTTGGATTTTGCAAAGTGGAAAATATTTATATTATTATTGAATATATTACGAAACCTATCGCGCACATTTCCTCCTTCATACTTGCGTGTTCAACAATCAAGCGGGCGGGAACGCAGCGATCCATATTCGTTCGCGTATCTCTTCTTCGTCTTCGCGGTGGCTGGATCAAAAACCAGTAGCAGATTGTAGGGCGGTGCGCGGTAGCCGCTGCGTTGCGATTGGTCGTCGAGGATGTCTCTCATAGATCGTCCACAATTTTTTACCCTCGAATCTTCTCCTTTCTTCCTCGGATCTTCCGGATCATTTATAAATATTTTCTCAAGTATAAAATTTGTGGTACACGCACGAAGTAATCTTATATATTTTAATTATGCGAGCAAACTCATTTCCCTTCTAATCCAACAGCGTAGTCGGTTAATGTAACATTTTTATTCAAAGAACGGTGAGGAAATGAGGATCCGATTGAGAACCTAAATCGAGGGTTAATTTGGTATCAATTAACTATGATGGGAGGAAAAAGTAGTGGTACACACAAAGCAATCTTGCATTTTTTAAGTACGCGAGCAAACTCATTTCCCTTCTGATCCAACAGCCTAAGCGTAGTCGGTTAATGTAACATTTTCATTCAAAGAACGATGAGGAAATGAGAATCCGATTGAGAACCTAAATCGAGGATACCTATAACTTTAGTATCAACTAACTATGATGAGAGGAAAAAATGTATTATTTAAATCTCTTCCGAGTGTTGCGATGTAATACACATTTACCAAGTCCAACTTCGCCTGTTGGACTCATCCAAGGACCCTCGGAGTCGAAAAATCGGGTCCATCGCTGGGCTACCATTTTTCTCCTGGGCCGCGAATCTTCTCGCGCGATAGGGAATAAACTCTCTGTCGGCGGGGAAACGCCCTTCCGCGATACGTCTTAACGTTATAAGAGGGGAGAGAGAGGAAGGGTGTGGTCCGTTCTTCTCCGGTTGCGGTAGCGACTGGCCGAAAACCGGTAGTCGGCGGTAGGGCGGTGCACAGTAGCTACTCTTCTTTGGTTGGCTACCGGCCTTCCTCGCTGTGGCGAAGAGAACGAACGAACGAACGACTCCGTGAGGGCTACCGCTCCTTCCTTTATTTCTCCATACACGCGAGAACGAGTGCACGCACGCTATATCGAGAGAGAAAGACGGGGCTCCCTCTCGGGTTGGTCGTCTCTTCGTTCCTCCTCGATTGGCTGCCTGGCTCCCTGTGTTCCACGCACTCCGCCCTTCGCGTAGGGCTACCGCGACGCGGAACGAACAAAGGGCGTCCGCGATCGCGTTCCTCCTTCTTCGATTTCTCGCCGATCGATGGCAGACAGGGCTCGCTGATGTCTTTATTGATTTTTCACCGCGACAGTAGATAACACTTTGGCCAGTCTAGTTAGAGTCTAGAAGGATAGGTCGATAATATTAATTTCGAGAGACCTAGAATCTAGGGGGATGTGAAAATATTTAGATTCAATTTAGGATCCATTTTCTCGGACGCCATGCATCGGCTTTGCTTTATTAAGATCTTCCGTCGATGCGTAAGTTTTCATGTATGGGCACCTTTTTGGGTGTCAGCTGCGTTTTTCTGACACATTGCAAAATTTCTTTGTAACTGGAAAATTTCCCACACAAATTTTATTTGGAACGAGGAAAAATTCCGATGTATTTTCACAGCTGTCTTTAGTATACGAATATCTACCTGTTCTTTGAACGAAAAGAAGGGTTAATTCTCAAATGCGACAGACCCTCGCGTACTATGACCAGTCTCTAATTTATTTCTAACAAAAGAAGGAGTCGATGAAATCATTAAACTCAATGATTTCGAGATTTTCGACGAATTTTGAGTATTTAGGATGTTACGATATCTAAAAATAATTTTGAACGCATACACATTTATTTGATTAAACGAGCTCTTCGACACTTATTAAAATTTCAACTCTACCGATTCATTCGTTCGAATTATACTTCAAAGTACAGCGCAAATAAAAATACAAAAAATTGAAAGTTTGCGCGATATTCCGTTCACGTTTACGAAAGGAAAAGTCCCACTTGATTATTCAACGAAATTCACTTTCGCACTGTATATAGGCTTCACTGTACCTATAATATATGAAAACGCGAAACCTCTCCATCTATTCGCAAATCTTCTACCAGATCTATGGCGATCTACATGAATAACGCATTATCATACATTATCGTACATTATCATACCATTAAATGAACTCTCGCGAGGTAGTAGAAACATGATAACTAGGTACAGAGGTTCACCCTCTCTCTCTTTCTCTTTGATCTCGCGCAAAAACGTCATTTTATACACGAATGATTGCCACCAATCTTGTATCTCGTGTAATTTTATTTTACTTTATTCTTCGGATTACGAGCCTCCATTCTCCATCTCAAAGTATCGCGAAGACGAGGAATTATCGCCTCTCGTTATTCGTGTAACTTTGTTACTCTGCCAGATCGCGGTTGATTTGACAGACTTTATCGGAGAATCGCGATCCATTTATCACATCGCCTGCTTCGAGGGATTATTTGCGTATCGCATCATCGTGTGTATATGTGCGTATATATATATGTGTGTGTGCGTGTGTGTAATGTAAAACCTGAGCGTTTACACGGCTAATGTCGCTTTCCTCGGCACCCGACTCATTAACGCACAACTCATTAACTTCGTCTCGCGCGAGCAAAGTGAGAACCTGTTCCTGCTACATGTGTCTCTTCCGTCTCGAGTAATACCAGGCGTATCGCGACCTCATAACTCTTCAAGATTGCCACGTTGTAGCCGCGGTGTGCCGTTTATTTTCACGGACGTATATATCAATATTTTGCGACAGGGCAACAGCTGATTGTCAATTTGTAATTCCGAAGAAAAATTTACCAAATTTGGAGGATAGGAGGAGACGTCACACGCATCTTAATTGGAGATCTTACGAGTAAAACTTTTTTTATTTCATACTTACATTTTTCATAGTCCATTCCATTTGATAATTTCTTGTTTATTAATTTATTTATATTTAATTTAATTTTATAATATATTTGATTTTATATCATTTAGTTTTTGCATAATTATTTCATCTTAATATTTATTATGGATATACTTTAAGCAGTCAGATCACTCATATTTTTTAATTATTTGAAATACAAAATAGGGACTTCAATTTCTATACAGGATGTAAGTTTAAAAAAACATATGGAGCACACTCATGGAACTCAAATTTTCTGAGAGTAACACATGGAGCTCAGATTTTCTAGGCAATTTGGAGACGATGTTTTCTTAGTGAAAACGTCGAGTTCGCATGTCATTTTTCGCATGTTCCCAATTTTTACCATGTATCTTTGTAACTAATAATAAGTATAAGCCTTAAACAAAAATGTATCAATCAAAATCAACTCTACGTAAAATTTACTGAAGAAATTAACTTTATAAAGTTTACTTTGCGAAAAGCCTTTATTTTTCAATTATTTATAACTTGAAGCTATTAGCGCCTCAATATTTTCACTGAGGAAAAATCGTCTCCAAATTGACCAGAGCATTTTGTGATGCTTTATATATTTTTTTTCAGTTACAATCTGTATAAATAAAACCTGAAATTCTTTGCATAAATGTGAGAAAATTGTGCGAGAAAATTTCTATAATTTTTCAGATAAAATTCGTCGGCTATTACATTCTACTTAAAAAAAATGCCGAATACGCGATTGATTGAAAATGATCAAAAATAAATTTTTTAAACTACAAAAGTACGGGAAAGCAGCCATCTTCGTTTAGAATATCACGCGTAACGTCGGTACACAGAGAAAATTATCTCTTAGAATTTACCCTGAAAATCATAATAATCGTGGGACAATATGGTATTGGAAAAATGTTATAAGAGTTTTTCTGATTAAAAATTTACCACAATAAAACTATTAATTATCTATCGCAATAAGATATAAAATATCCTCGATTAATTTTACTATGTACCTATGAATATTTTTTCTTATATATCCCACGATCACCATGATTTTCAGGGTAAATTCTAAAAAAAAATTCTCTCCGTGTATTGACGTGAAAGGCGCGGTTTGCTCCTTCGGGGGCAAAACCAGCGTGTGTCATTGTCTTTTTTTGAAGCAGAACTCGCGTAATGCGCAGTTTCCGATTAGGCTCCGCCGGCCGCCCCGTTAGGGGTCCACGAGCTAAAGCACACAACAACCTGGGTTACGCCCAGACACGCTTATATTACTCATTCGGACACGCCACTTTATTCGAGCGTGCGCCGTGCGCTTAATAATACGCGAGCCCGGTAGCTGTTCCGAGGGCCGAGGATGAGGCTCCCGTGCAACGGGTTACGATTGGTTCCTGCGGGCTATCTCTTCTTTTTCGTTTGGTTTTTTAACACGTCGATCCCAAGCGGTGCTATTAAGAGCAGCTTTTCCCTTCCGGTCCCTCGAGTTCCGAAAGCGATGCTTTCGAGCGCGAAAGATTCAGCTCTTCGCTTTCATTTTTAATTGAAATCAGAGAGATAGAGAGGGGAATTTATTTATTTTTTTTTTTTATTTATTATCATGTTTTTTTTCTGCGAGAGAGAGAACAGGAAAGTGAATTTTAATCTTCGATGCACAAATTCGCTTATATCAGACTTCAAATAATTTTCAAAATTGAAGAGTTAGATGTAAGAAGAAATTATAAATATCTGATCAATGTAAAGAAAGAATATGTGAAAAAATTTATAAATTCTAGTTTAAGAATTTAGAAATAGGCCATTTTAGTTACATAAAAGTTAATCAGTCATTCGTTTTCGTTGCGAGATATCCGAGATAGAGATGTTCTCTCGATTTACGAGAAGCTGGACGACGAGCGTAAAGATTATGGATCGTATTTTCGCGAATTTAACGCCAATAGTTGCTTCCCTCTTGTTTATCTTGAATATACGAATATATTATTTCTCTCCTCGTGTAAGTAATATTTATATAAAATTAGACAATTGAAATTAAAGTACAAACAATATGCTACGGAGAATGCACATCAAAAGTTATTTAAACTATACATGAATTATTTTTTTATTCATAACTTATTTATGAATTATGAATTTAATTTTTTTCAATACTAAATACAAACATAATATAAATGTATAATATAATTACAAAATTAGTACGACTATTAATTTAACAAAATATAAAATTAATTGTGATTACATTAGATTAATTCTATTTAATTAGAAATGAGAATCATGGCACAAGATTTTACTCGCAAGTATAAATTTGTCGAATTTTTACAGACTCAATATTAAATTAAAGCGAAGTAAAATGAAACGAAGCTTATTTAATATTCCGACGCAGATGCGTCTATACGAGTTCAATTTTCAATTTTATCTATTAAGGAGCATCAATTTCATCGATTTTCTCCATCTGTCATTTCTCTCAAATATGCACTGAAAAAAATTATTAAATTAATAAATATTAATTTCAATACTATCTAGTAAACCATTTATTCGAAACAGGTAAATATTTATCATTTTTTTTGCATCAAATCGGTATTGAAATAAAAATTTATTCGAAAAAAATAAATTCTTTTTCCAATGCAGAATTTGAAATACTATTTAAGTAATATAATTTGTAACAGCTCTTTAGAAAATTTTAATCTACAAATAAAGAGGCAATAAGAGCTAATTAAGTTCTATACTAGAAATATATTTGTGAAAAGATTTATAACATAAATTATTAAATATTATACAGAAGTAAATTCGTTTAAAACGAAAATAAACGAATTTACTTCTGTATAATATTTAATAATTTATGTTATAAATCTTTTCACAAATATATTTCTAGTATAGAACTTAATTAGCTCTTATTGCCTTTTTATTTGTAGATTAAAACTATCTATCGCTGTAAAAAAATTTCGTAAAATTACATTAAAAATATGTAAAATTACATAAATAATAAATGTAAAATTACATGATAAATAATGAAAAGGTATAATCATTTCCATTATTTATCGTGTAATTTTACACAAATTATTTATGTAATTTTACATATTTTTGTGTAATATATTACATATTTTTTTACAGTGTAAGTATACCTATATCTCGCAACAAGCTTTCATCTCGCGGAATGATTCCTACATCCAGATCCGGCACACTCGGCATACCTCAATACCCCATTGTGCCTTCTCGGATTAATTTTAAGCGCGATCCCAATAAAATGCACGCGCGAACAAGACCGACGCAGACGTGCACCTTCCTCACACCCACGCGTTCCTCGAGGAATGCAAAAGACTTTTACACACAAGCCGCTTCTCTCTTAACCCGTTGCTCGTCGTAGAGCGGCGCAAGACCCCGAGATACACATCATATACGCGAAAATAAATACTCGGCGCGCTAGTCAGAGATCGCAGAGGAATCATCGATTCTGTGCTCTTTTCAGGCATCAGCGAGAGGATCCTCTCGCGACTTGGCGCAAGCAGTGATCTCACTCCCAGGAATCAGCTAGCTTTACGCGGGAGGAGAAGAGAACCGAGACAGGGTTCGAGGAAGACAGATAAAAAGAACGAGACAGAGAGAGATAGGAGCACGTCAAAGAACGAGAAGGAGCAACGCAGAGTGAAAGAGGACAACAGAGGGAGACAGACCCAAAGTGGTGGGAGCGATTCCGAGCGAAAAGAGTGAGAGAGAGAGCCAGTAGGAGGGAAAGGAGAAGACAGAGAGAGACTCGACCAAGAGAAGGAGCAGTGGGAATTTATAAGGATGTTCGCGATAATGCCGATGGAGACAGAGGGGCACGGCAGGGAGTTCGGCCGCCGGCAGAAGATGCGCGCCAAGTGCACGACGTACCAGGAGTACGTCTGCAGGTACTGCCAGCGGCGCTTCACCAAGTCCTACAACCTCATGATCCACGAGCGCAGCCACAAGATCGACGTGACCTTCACCTGCGAGGTCTGCGGAAAGTCCTTCAAGCGGCAGGACAATCTCAAGCAGCACAGGTACCACCATTTTTCACCTCTTTGGTTTTTTTTTTTTTCGATTTTTCTCGGTTCGACGTCATTTATAATTTATATTTTTATACGTATATATATTTTTTTTGAATTCCTCCTGGGTTTTTTTTTCTTTTTCGCGCCGGACCGATCGATCCGCGTGATCGATAGTCGAATCCTTTAGGGGGTCTTCGATATATGTGCGACTGTCACTCGCGAGGTAGGTTACAATATAGCGGCATCGGGAGACGTTTTCGTGTTTTCTGGTATACTATGGAAAAATCGAATCGTAAACTGTGTGAGACCAATCGCCGTTCGTTAGGTTACGTCATCGATCATTGTGGAAATCGTTTTGTCGCGATTATCCGATTTTTTCTTTTTTTTTTTCTCCGGATAAATATCACGCTTCTCTCTCTCTGTCTGTCTCTTTTTCTCTCTCTCTCTCTGTCTCTTTCTGTAATAACCGGCAGGCATATATTTTCGATAACAAGTGAGTAACTTTCAGCATCCTCGTACATTATATGTGTAAAGGATTCTTAGCCGCGCGCGTAAGCTTTAAGCTAAGACTCATGAGGCGCAAAAGCGCCTGGAGGAAACCGGTCGGGTCACCGGTTCGACCTTTCGCAAAGTCGAAGAAAAGAGAAAAACGTTCGGCTGAAGTCGGTACTTTATTCTGTGAGTCACTTCACGGAGCGAGACCAGGCGCGATTCCTCCTCGATCCATCGTCGACGTGTCTTGACGTGACGAAATATCGTGAAACGCGCAAAACGGGTAATTTTAACGTGGCGAAATAACGATATATCGCAGGGAGAATTAATATATCACGGAAACGTCTCACGATGATCTTCCAATGTACATGTAATATCGTTAATTAACGACACTCGCAAAGCGTTCCATGCGTCAAATCTTTCATCCTTTTCTCGAATCAGAAAATACCACATATATCTATTTCTTCTTTGTATTTATACAATATATTATGTAATATGTATGTAACAAAGAATATATATTCTAGTCTTTTATTCATTCAGTTTTTATGTAAGAAAAACGCGAAATATTCTTTATACACCGAGTGTCCCATTTTAAATAATGCAAAAATGTTTCATATAAAAGGATTTCGAGAGGGAGGTCTTAAGTTAGTTTTATTCCAAGTGGAGACATTTTTGAGATTTCGAGATCATTATTATTTCTTTAAATAGAACTCTAATAATTTTTTAGCAAAATCGATTTTTCGTTATACTTGGCGTAAAAAATTGTTAGATTAGAAAAATGAATGGTTTACGAAATGTTTTATTCTGATACATTTTGATAAAAATTATGAAATATCTCGTAACTATTTTTCGGTAATTTTGCCTTAATAATTTTTTGCATAGAATAAATGGTATAGTAGAAAATGCGAGTTCTTTGGGTTAAATATTTATTTAGTGACAGTTTACGGTCGAAACTATGTTACAAAACTATAGAAATCGTCGAAAACTATAAAATTTTATTGTTTAAATTTAGAAAGATGTGCTAACTTGACTGAAAGTTAGCATATCATGTCATTTTTCGAATTCAAACCAATGAATTTTATAGTTTCTGACGAGTTCTATAGTTCTACAACATTTTTTAAATTAGTTTCAGTCATTAAAGCGATAATTAATTTTATCCACGAGATTTTCGGATTAAATAATTGACTAAAAGATTTCCTAAATATTTTGATGGATAGAATTCTTTGGATAATCCGTGTGTACGCGCCCAGGATTGTATACGAAAATTAATTTACAATAAACAAAATGTTCGAAATATGGCTAGGATATCATCCCTATATTCGAAAATGCGAGTTTTTGCTACGAAAATTTAAATATTTATTTAGTGACAGCTTACGGTCATTTCGTAGGCTAAATTAAATGATATAAAAACATATAGTTATTTAAAAAAATATACTGCGCATTGCAATTTTTTTAAATTAGAAGAGTATGTTTTTCTTGCTTCAATTTATTTCGTTATATTCGACGCAGAAAATTATTAAGGAAAGATATTTTCTATTTTTTCTCAAGATGTGTCAGAATAAAACAAAATATATAGAAGCCGTAAACGTAAACCATTCAACTTTCTGAGAAGATGTCCTCCTAGAATAATCCTACAACTTTTATATGAAACATTTTTCGATAGAAGTCTTTTCGAAAAATAACAATGTATAATTAAAAATAGAACACTTTATACATATACATATATTTATACATATACATATATTTAACAAATAATACTTTTTAAATAATGCATTATTATATTGAAGAATATTTCGCGTTTTTCGTCCAAATAAAAATTCCAACGAATAAAAGAATAGAGAATATTCCTTTGTTAAAATAAAATTTTCAACAAACAAAAAGAAATACGTCGCTTCAAAGACACGGGAGTTTGCGCGGAGAAAGGCCGCGATATTATGAGTCATTTTTACGAGTGTAAAATTAATTTAACCGCGTCAGAGAGAGAGAGAGAAGGTGATGACGATATCATGTCATACAACGGAGGAGAATTTCACCGTCATTTCGTAAGCTACAAACCTATAGAAGAGAGAGAAGCTTTCATCTCATTACCGATCACTCGTCAACTTTCGGGAAAGTTAGGCTTCAACTACTCGGTTGAAAGGGTCACGGCGTGGCGGCGACCTCGAGAAGGTCAAACAGCGTCGGTTCGAGCAGAGGAGGCCGCTACCGCCGTTGACCTTTCGCATCGATAGCCTTGTAATGGTTGCAACGTGTCACCTTCACCCGGCAGAAGAGGAATCGCGACGCGACGCGACGCGGCTGAGAGAGAAGAGATACGTATATATTTCGCGCGCGCGAACTTTGATCTCCCTCTCTACACACGACAAGCGCCTACGGGGCCGCAGAACCCGTCGATAGAGTCGATACGCGGTGTATAGGATCGGCCTGACCCATAAATCAGTCTGAAATAACGCTGCCCCCGCATGGAACGCGCGAGCGAGCGAGCGAGCGATAAAATAAATCTTCAATATCTGGTGGATACTAATGGATACCTTGTATGTAACGGCGGTGGTCTTGTTTTCTGTTCTGTTGTAGATGTGGGTGGCGGTGAGCGGGAGCTCTCTGAACCTCCTGCACCTTGATACATATATACACAAAATCGGCATTACACAACGTCTTTCAGCAACATATGCGAATACAATTTTATTATATACGATAAGACAAGAGTAACTCGAATTCAAAACTACAATTTGATATATTAAACTGCAACCTACACGCACTCTCTCTCTCTCTCTTCTTAATCTTGATCACCCGTACTCATTTTCCCCCAACCCACCTTGATTTTGATTCGCGAAAACTATGTTGTACCGCCACCACCACAGAAAAAACCCCAGCATGTGTGCTTCTTCTTTTTCTTCTTCTTCTTCTGCCTAATTTGCCTTCTCGCTACCTTCGTCTGCGACTTTTACTACCCTCGCTACGACTTCTTCCGTCATCGTTTGGCTATTTCTTTAACTAACACACGTGCACGGAGAGAATTTTCTCTTGGAATTTACCCTGAAAATCATGGTAATCGTGGGACAATATGGTATTGGAAGAATTTTCTACGAGTTTCTCTGATTAATATATTTATTACAATAAAAAATATTAATATTCTACCAATAATAAATCAAATTTTACCATGTATATAGTAATATTAATCAAACATATTTTATATCTTATTGTGAAATCCTTTTCGCTCCCCCGTTTTTTAATATTAATACTTTAATTGTGGAAAAGGACTTATCAATTTATATAGTCAATCAAAATATTAGTAATATTACTAATATTTTGATCGATTATACAGATGAATAAATTTTTTTAGGGGGATTGCTATAATTTCAGGTAAAAAAACAAAAAATTATAGTTCACAATTCGGTTATCATTAATACTTTAATTGTAGAAAATAAAAAGATTCATGATCAAATCCAACTTCGCATTTTTTACCATAACAAAATAATGCTTTATATAGGATCACCTTCATATTTTTATTTCAGATAAACTCTTATAAAACTCTTCCAATATTGTTCCACGATTACCATAATTTTCAGGCTAAATACTAAGAGAAAATTCTCTCTGTGTGAGTCCCACGCTCTAACGAGTGGGAATGAATTTAATAGATAGAAGAGAAAATTAGAAAAAAAAAAAAAAAAAAGAAGAAGCAATGAGAGAAGAAAGAGCGAAAGGGTTCTACCCTGGAAATGTACTTTCCTCATCTTCCGATTTCGACCATCTCTGTTCCAGGAGCATACACTCTGTTCCCTACAACGGCTCCAACGGCTACTCAAATGGCTATTCAAATGGCTACTCTAGGTATTAGAAGCCATCCGGCCAACTACTATCCTAAAAAAATTCCCGTAGACACGCGAAATCTCTCTTTCTCTATCGAAATGCTCTAACTTCATCGACCGACCAGCTCTTCCCCCCAGTTCTGCCTCCTATGATGAAAAAGCGACAATCCTCCGCCGAGCCACATTTGTCGGAGACGAATCCCCGTCTCTGCGAATCGCAGGGGAATCGCGAAGCTCCATCGATCTTTTTTCCCGATTTGTTTCCTTTTTTCTTGTATCGTTCACCACCTCGCCTACCAACCTCGCATTTTTAGTTTTGTTCGTCCTCGCTTCTTTTGATCATTTTTTCCCGCTTCTCTCATCCTCCTCTATCCCGAGCCTACACCCAGACGTCAGCCACATCCTCGAGGAGAAATCATCGTCGACCCGATGTCCAACACGAAGCATCAGAGCCGATGACAGCGATATCTACAGGAATACGAACGATCGTAGCTTTGCTTCCTGTATAAATTTTGTCGAATCTCAAACGGGTAATTGATAGCGTCTTCTGTAGGAAAAAATCGCTGGCGTTCCTAATTCTTGAATTTGATGTCGGGGTTAGATCCACCAGAGCTACTAGCTAGTTTTAAATATGTTTTTTGAACTCAATTTTAAGGAAATGAGCAATATTGAACAAAAAAAATAATGTAATGTTACCCCAATAAAATGTGGAACACTCAGAATACGCTCGCTAATACTACCAACGAAATGTGCACTTGAAACACTAAGTGCAAGCGAGTTTTTCCCCAGTGAAGACGCTATGATACATTCTTCTGTAAAATACGATCGATACATGATATTCAAAGCGTACGTAAAATTTCTTAATTTTGTGCGGGATGACTAAACCGGGAGTCTTTTCCCGATCAAGCTATTTATAAATCATTTAAAACTTTATTGTTGCATGTGATTAGATAACATATCGTACAATTCGAATAAGATACGAAGAAGAAAGATATATACGACGCTAGATCGGAAGAGATAATTTTCACTTATCACTTTAGAAGTCATCATCAAATCTACTTTAAATACGCGCACCTATATTTTTCATCGAAATTTCCGTCTTCACAAGAGACAACGAAAAGTACTCGCAATATAAACCAATCGTCGAACGAGGAAGAGAAATCAAGACAATGACTCTTCCATCACACGAGACAGCTGATGGGGAAAGAAACCGCAAGCAGACGAGCCACTTTCTTCCGCATTTTCCTAACGAGGAAGTCGAGGACTCCTCCCCGGGCTAACATCCCAAATTGGACTACGTAATGACCTACCTACCTAGCGTCTACGGTCGGAGAAGATGCGCTTGTGTTCGCTTCCTCGCGTGCTACCGTAGAACCACGCCCAGGCCCGGAGCGACGTCTCTTCCTGACCTCCTCGCCACCTGGCAATCAACCGCGAAGAGCTACCCGGCTTCCCCGTTTGGTAAATCCGTATAATCTCGCTAGAGATCCACCTCCATAGAACACGAAGATGCGAGAGATCGACTAGCGAACGAGCGAGATTGTCGCGAAGATTATCGTCGCGACCGGACAGCCTTGGCTTGTCCACGTGGTGCAAATACCAGTCAGCTGAGATCGGTTTCCAGTGGGTGAACCCTCGGCCAAGTGTCTCTTCGATTGAGCCCGGCCTGGCCAACTCGAGTGGAATAAGGATCAACCGTTATTCTCTGCGAGCGTCTCTCGATCGTATCTTTCTTTTTTCTTTTTTTATATATGTCATCCGGTTTTTTCTCCCTCTTTTTTTTTCCTCTTTCGTCGATAAAGCGTTGCTTGAAAACGCGACGTCGCGCGACAGACGGACGGGAATATTCGCGTCGGAGCGAAGGTGTAGGTGTAAGCGATATGGTAGGTTTTTGAGATCTCCCATTTGCCTCTCGAGCAAGACACGCTAAAACGCGAGTTGTAAACCGTGTGTGGGATATATGTATGAGCGCGCGTGTGGCGAGCACAAATATAATATAATATAATCGTGTTGAGTAAAGCCTTCGGAAACCTTCGGTCCTCTCGGTTTTTAGAGAAAACGGTAGGAAGATACAAGACGCATTTATATCGTAATGGATATCCATAAAACGTAAAGAGTTCAATGAAAACGTCAATGATTTTATTTATCGTCATTTATAAAATTTTACGCCCATTTTTCGACGATGTAAGCGCAGATGCAAATTTTATTACGCCCAAGACTATATTACATCGCATTTTTTTCCCCCGAGAAAGTCACACTTTGGTTTGTCTTATAATGTATTTTTTTTTTTTTTTTTATATTACATATTAAATAGTTTTGGTCTACTGTATTTGTATCTTTTTCTCTAATATCTATATTATTATATTTGATGCTAAACACACAGCGATCTATAGATATATATTACGCAAAAAGATGGAATCATTTACATTACCATGATAAATTATCACTGTTTCTTGCTGTAATCGTCCTTCGATTCGCTTCCATATATTGTAAAAAATGTATTTCTCGTGTATAAAAATTTAATATAATTTTTGCGGCATGTTTTTTTTCTAAACTGTACATTAAAAGGAGAGAAAGTGACTTTGAGAGAAAAGGGACTTGTATGTTAATGAGGATTAAGAAATTTACGTGAATCTCTTTGGTTGTAACATACATCCTTTTTCTCTCGTGTCGCTAAAAATTTTTCATTATTTTTAAACGCGAGAGAAAATTACATAATACATAATGAATTACACAAAATACGTGCGAAAGTTTCGGCTACGGCCTCTCGAGAACATCGAGAGCTGCCAATCAGCCGACAAAACTCACGTAAACACAAACAGATTAATATTTAAAAAAAAATTAAAAATGACAAAAAAGATCCATGATGGCTTCGAGAAAGAAGCGGAAGCAGGATTTCATCTTTCTTCATCTGTAACTCCGTTTTCGATTCCCCTTTAAGGGCGGAATGGAAGATCGTGCGGTCGTACTTTGTACATAGCTTGCAAAAACTGCGCATCTTTAATATTATTATTATATTATTATTATTGATTATTAATTAATATTATTATTAATTATTTTACGAATGTTATCGAGAAATAGCGCTTAGTCATTCTGTACTGTAGTCGCCGATAAGGCTTCAAAAGAGTGTAGAGAACCGCACTTTCGTTTGTACGCGATATTGATAGGAGTGATAATAATGTTATTTTATTTTTTATTATAATATAAAATATTATTATATTATTATATTATATATATATTTTGCCACATACACGTGTACACACACACACACACACACATGCATACATATCTCCATGCATGTATCGCTAGCTTCACACACACATACACAAACAAATCGAAGGTACACGGTCAGCCCGTTAGGAAAAGAGGTTCATGTTTCTGTCTCTCCAAGAGAGACGGGATAATATGATATCGCGCGCGCGAAACGATGATTTCATGTATGCTTTCCGCACACATAGCATTTGTATTAGTGGGAAAATTCCACTCTCCACAACGAACTAGAAATAAATTCGCCAAGTTGTAAAACGCTACATCACGCCCCTGTGTGTGTCCTTTTTTTATGAATTTCCCAAAAATCCTTCCTATACATTTTTCGCGACGATTAAGACGATTCCTCTGCTTTTGATTTTTCTTGTAAATAATTTTAATATTTGAATAATTTTAATAGTATTCAGGGTAAGGGTCTATTTGTAGTTTACAAAGGATTTTCGTAAATTTTCATCATCTTGAGACATTGCATCATTCTCTCGAGCGCATACACATTGCAGTGTGTATAATAAGAGAGTAATGCAGGATAATTATATTACAAATTATACGATTGTGGCTTACAATTAATCTGCATCTCGTTTGAGAGACTGGAGCTGCGGGATGACTCAATCGTAGAAATTATCGGGGATAATTCATTCCTGAGGATCGCTCAGAAACGGTCGTCACGCAAATCACGGCGAGTTAAAACGACGGCCGGCACCAGGACGATATAGGAGGAAGAAGGAGACGGAGAGAGAAAGAGTAGCAATCCTGATCAAGACAGATCTCCCGCAGGCGTGAAATAGCGGCCTGTATGAAACCATCCTTCTTGTCACAATAAGTCAAGCGACGATTAACGGTACGTCTTGATCCAATTGATGTGTGGAAACGTGTAACGCGAGTGCACATTAAAGGGTTATCGAAATACAGGGGACATTTAAATGGAGGAATTCATCGAACAATGAGACACTCGATAAAAGCGATAATTATATATATTTTTGTATATTTTATATATGTCATATTTTATATATTAAATTTAATTTTATTAAATTATATATATGTATAATTTATATTAATTTTATATTAAATTATAGCATACCTTTATATCGATTATTAAATGTCAAAAATTATGACATATCGGGAATTTATGTCTTTTATATTAAAATTTGATATTTAATTAAATATCGTACGTCGCTTGAATTTTGCTAGTTCGAGACATAAGATTGATACTCTCGTACCAGCGGCAAATTCTTCCATTGTGCACTCCTGCGATTGTGCAACAAACTCGGAGTTCGAAGTCGTATTCCATGAGCGTACAAGATTGCGCGCGGTGCATCCTGTTCACTTTATGTTGTGGCTGGAAGCTGCTCTCACCTCCTGGGGCAAAAGTCGTGAGCTGAATGTCACGGTGATTGAATACGACCCGCTCTGATGTGCTTCCCGAAGACCGAGTTGGTTTTCCGCGCCAACGTCTTCTCTCTACGTTTCTTGTAATTCTCTAATTACTTCAACCACGGATAAAAAAAAATAAAATTTAATTATTTGTACACGAAGGAAAATATCTGTTCGCTGTAAAAGAGTGTCAAACCTTTCCTTCAAGCAAGCTTTAATCAATAACAGATAAATAAATAAATAAATTTATCTATCCTGATTTTTAATTAAAAATGTATATATAAATATTCTATAATATATATAATTATAAATAAAAGATAATGAATAATATATATAAATAATCATGTATAAAAATAAATAAAAATGAAGAGAAGATAAAACAAAACGTTGAATATTAAATAAAACTTATACTCTGTACGGAGCGGTCCTTTCTCCAGGAGAATTCATTCTCACACCCGCGCCTTCGATCTCTTCGTTTATTACCGCTTCCAATCTCGGAACACACAAGTATGTGACTGATAAAGCCGCCACACGCTGCTCTCTCGTATACTCGAACTCGCGCATTTCCACACGTTTACTTATGTTAGTTATGGGCGTGCGCGTTAAGCTAGCGGGCAGGAGCTTCCCATGGAACTCTCACCTCCGCGGGCGGAAAGTGAACTTCGCGGAGGTTCAGTCAGCCGTCGTGCACAGCCGCGATCCTTTTTCGGGTGAAAGGTTGGCAAAAAATGCGACAACAGCTACCGCTACCGGTAACTTCAATGCCAACGTGGTTCGCTTTCACCTGCATCGAGCAGAGATCGAATCCTTCTTTCATTTTTTTTCGAAATATATATATATATATATATATATATATTAAAATATATTTTAGTTTTATAATATATATAATATTTCGATAATATATATTTATGATATATTAATAAAAACTATATTGTTTATTATAATATATATAACATTATAATAAATATATTATAACATATATAATTATATAATAAAATATAATATAGTTTATAATAAAAAATGTATATATAATAAAAATATATATAAGAAGACTAGATTTTTCGACCGAGGAATTTTAGGAATTTTCTAAAAACACACGTGTAAAAAATTTGACAGATCTCTTGGTTTGCGAACTTTGAAGGAATATTTTTATTATCGCTGGAAAGTGATAGCGCGAGGGTCAGAATCATGAAGGAAACGTAAAGGAATGCGGTTGAAACGTGTCGCAAGGATTATATTTTATTGGGTCGTAATGATAATTAATTATACGGGAAGAGACGCGATAGATCAATCTCACGTGTATATGGAAAGATGCGACTTTCCAAGGACTTGAATCGCGAGATGTCCAACATACAGTCTTCTAGATCCGAACTCCTTTTCGCGGAGAGGATCGAAGCGAGGCCGTCGATGAAACCAGCTTGGCCAGCGTAGTCGATCGATGAAGGCAGAAAGAGACGAGGTCACGAATAAAATGAATATATACGAAGTAATTATATTTACGCTTATAACATGTTATTAAACATATGGAATATCGAATCGAAAAGAGGCGAGAGAAGAGATAATCGAAGACGGGTACGTGTGAAAGCGAGTGCGATTGCGAATGGTAGCTAAAGGTGAGTGCCTAAAGGTTAAGAAGGTTACTTATCGCTAAATCATCGTCTTCGAAGATGGAGATAGAGACGAGATGAAAAACGAAAGACGCGCTTGAAACCAAAAGCAAGGGATGCGAAAAGCGCCTGATTAGCCAGAGAAAATAAAACGCTGTAATAAATCGTCGTTTCCTTTCCCAATCAAAGTGGATCCATCATTGAACCATAAAAAAATAGACATTTGGTTTTGTTTCGTACATTTATTGTGAAAAACTGCTGCGTTTTTCACGGTCTATTTTAAACAGAACTTTAAATAATCTTTTGTTCAAAAATAATTAAATATTGTAACAAAACAGTCGCCTTTATATCAAATCTTTACATAGAAAACCCTAACTTCTCCTATATATAGTCATTTTACCGTATCAAAGCGATTAAATTGCAGTTTCAGCGAGCAACGCCGAGTCCGAAGTTGCGCAGAAAACCAACTCGCAAGATGCGAGATGTGCAAAAAGTGGGTAAAAAAGGCAGGGCCAACGCAGTTGGGTTGTACGCTGATAGCGGGATAGAAGACGCTAAAGGTTACTATCGCATCATCGCCGCGTCAAACTACCAGCTAGATTAGAAGTCTCCCTTGGGCGAGCACGAGGTGTGTTTTGCTCGGACTAGGACTCTCTTTCGTTCTCTCTCGCGCGCGAGGTTTCGCGACGTCGTCCAACATCTCTAGTCGGTAGGTTGGTAGGTAGGTAGGTCGGTTGGTCGCTCAGTAGGTATATTAAACGATCCAGTCCCTCTTTCCCTCCCATACTCCTGGTGTCCTCCTCCCACCTTCTATCCTCTCCTTCTCACTCCCTCTCTCGCGACTGGCGCGGCTTCTAAGATCTGTGGGAGCGCCTTTCACCTAATTGTTGGCACAATATGTGAAGACGAAGCCACCACGGTTCCCATCGACTTCTGGAGATGATACTCCGACTCGTGGCGCCTAGGCACAATATCGTTGCTATCCTAGGGAGGCCTCCAGAGGTCGATCGCGGGATCGTCTCTGCGACCGGAGGGGATATTATAGGCAGTGCAAGTAGTAGGTTGGATGATATAGCGCGTATAAGAGGTCACCTCGGAGAGTACGGCGAACCACACTTGCGGTCTAGCGATATCTAGGCTCATGCAAATCATTGCAGTATTTCCCGTTCGCTGCAAATGCTCGTCACATTTGTTGGTACGTGCACGTATGCTGCATTTTATTTTATATAGATTGTATAAGATATACAAAATATGAGCTTCTCTAGACGGAAAAAAATTGTTCACTTGACTATGATCTTTCTCTCAACGAAATTACTATTTTGTTAATTAAACATGCCTATATTAGTTTTTAAGTCAAAAAATCAAAGTGCGTGCGAGCATTAATTGGTGCAATTTTTTTATGCCTATTAACAATAATATTTTTGAGAGGAAGGATAAAATAATAAGTATAATAAAATGAAATATTTGCTGACGCTATGTTAAGTAATAGGAGCCTGATGTGTTTCTTATAAAAATATTGAATTAGATTTTATTTTGGAATTTAACGGAACGATATATTTTAATTTAATAGATTTAAATGTATGCAATGTCAAAATACATTTATTTTTTCACTGATATTTTTCCCCATTCCTACAATTATCACAGACAAATTGGAAATATATTTTGACTAGATTCAAAATGGCGCACGTTAAATTCAAAATTGATTTAAAATCATCTCTAGACAGAATAAAATAAAATATTATTACACATCAAATTATATAATTGACATATTGATAAAACGATGAAAAAATATTGAAATATATTACATAATTTTATCAATGAACAAAAAATATATTTATATACACATATTAAATTATATTAATTATATAATGCAAATATATAATTATATAACGTATTATATAATATAATTATACATCGATCGAATTTTTTCTTAAAATTTATCCTGAAAATTATAATAAAGAGAAAATCATAGTCAAAATC